TAAAAACCTAAGAACTGCCAAAGGCGCAGTGAAAGAACAATCTTTGAACACCGATCCGAAATAAGAATCTCTCACTTTTTTCTCTGTTATGGTAAATTAAAGTTTAATAACTAATAATGGTGTGTTTTGTAAAAATTAAAAAATCTTAAAATTAATTACAGGTCACCAATGGAGTCGGTAACTGGTTAGTACGAAATTTGCCTATTTTATCTACACTATTCAATTATTACTAGAATGTTATTGTTTGTTTACCACATGTATTTTAATTCATAGGTTTATTTGTCTTATTGTTTATTAATTTACTTAACTGTCTATCCCTATCAATTAATTGGTTTTAAATAACTGTTTGATTATGCTTTCTCTAGATATTCAATATTGAACTATATAGTCTATTAAATTATTGTTCTATTTCTCCGGTAATCATGAAATGAGATTATAGTTTGTAATTAGTGACTATGAATGATATAGACATGCATGTAAGAAAGACACATCGGATACCCTAGAAAATGGTGTACAAACTCGGTATAAAGGAAAAACCCTACCGTGGACATTACCTTAGTCGAACAAGACTGAAAAGTCTCATACCGGAAGGGGTATCGAGGAGGTGGTATGTTTGGCACCCATTATCAGATGGGGTATAGGGACAGCCGGTTAATTGATAAATTAGGTATTGGGTTCATGTGTAGAGGGTATCCCTATGGACTTCCAGAGGTACTGGTAAGTAGGTAAAAATGTAAGATTATTGTTATTGTTCATTTATATAATTAAATGTTATTTGAGTTATTGTCTTTATAGGTCGATTTTAGAAACTCATAAGAGTAAGTATAAAATAACGATTTTTAACTTAAACGAATTTATTTAAAAAGAGATAATGGTTCCATTAATTGTTTGACTATTTTTACCAACCTTTGATTTTTTGTATCAGTGTTGAATGTAATATTCTTACTTGGCTAATGTAACTCATCCCTTTTATTTAACCATTTCAGATCATGAAGACCAAAATCCAAATCTTGAACTGCAAGAAGGTTACAAATAAGAGCTGCCTCCTGCATCCTCTTAGAGTTGCCCAACTGAAGTCAACTCTATAAGCTCTTTAGTTGTGTTTTATTTTATTTATTTATTTCGTAACTAAAACTTCCGAAAAATAGGCATTCCTATAACCCTATTGGGCACCTCGATTTATTGTGTAAAAAATATAACTCTAAACTCTCAATTGCTTCCGCTTATATTTACTTAATTCAATACTTCTATTTCCTTAAGTTTTGGGTCTTTATAGTTTTAGATATTAATTATATGTTTCAAATGCCTAATGGGAAACCAAGTGGTTTATTTAGGGTTTGACAATTAACAAAAGTGATAAAACTAAAATAAAGTAACAACTGATTGTAATGGTCCAATGGTTTAGGATGACTACTTCTACCTTGAATCATACCTAACTTTCAAAGTTAAATGATTTGTTATTAGATATATTGTTCTGTTGTGTTGTGGTAACTCTCTTTATGTTCTGTTGTGTTGTGGTAACTCTCTTTATGTTCTTCAAACTTAATAATTTTTTATGTATTTTATAAGACATTGAAGTTTTCTCCAAATAACAAATTCAATGTCATTATTTGCTCTTGTTTTAAGTTAGTTTGACATTCATAAGAGACCTTTTAATGACTATTATATCAACCTTCATAGATCCTATATTTATTATTACTGTATAACATGTCCATTATTGTTAATAAAAAATTATGTTAAACTAAGATTATATATTATTAAACAACATTCAAATAAACAGAAAAAGAAAGAACTAGATTAAAACCATTTTTAAACTGGTAAAACCAAACTCGAGCCATCTCTAGACCAACAAAGCCTCAAACTAGCCTAACTAGTATAAAATAAATAGCTAAGAAAAAAGAGAAGAGAATGTAAAGGTCCGAAACTTAAAAGAAAATAAATTTATAAATTTAATGAAGAAGCAATTAATAGAATTAGGGTTTACATTCATTACACAATAATTTTGAATGCCCAATAGGATTACTGAAATGTCATTTCTAAAAGATAAACGAAAATTAAAGAAATAAAATGAAAAGCGAATAACTAAACATCCTATGACAACCCTTTTGCTGATCGAGATATGAATCTTGATCTTCTTTATCTGAAATGGTTAATGAAAGGGTGAACTACACTAACTTAGTAAGAATATCACATTAATAACAGATATAGAAAATTGAAGATTGGTAAAAAAAAAATTAAAAAAATAGCTAATGGAGCCCTTGACTTATTTAAATACATTTGAAATTTAAAGACATTTGTTTAATACTTACCATAATAAAGTTTTCTAAAGACAACCTATAAAGGTCCATATCCATATTACTTTACACTTTCACACATAAGAGAATGAAAAACAATAACTTTCATTTCTTACGTGCTTATTGGTACCCCTAGAGGTCCATAAGGGTGTCCCCCCTACTCCCGCACCAAATATCCAATTTTACAATTAACCAGCCATCCCCATATCCAGTCTAGTAATGAGTATCAAATATTCCATTGCATTGATACTCTGTCTGGTATAAGAGTGAACCATATCTTCCAAATCTTTGCGGTAAGGGACTTCTTAATCTCGTCCGACTGAGGTAACGTTCACGGTAGGATTCCTTATTCA